GTGTCCTTGAAACAGTCACTTCTCATGAGGTTCCAATGAGAAATACAAGCACACAGAGGAAAGCAAAACAATGCTTTATTGTTAGCTGGGCTTGGGCTCAAAACTCTGGAATTCTTTAGTCAGCAGATGAGATTATGCTTTCTGCTCAGCAAGTTTTGCCTAAACAGCTTCACGACAATGGCCAATCCAATATACCACCAGCTCCAGAAAGGCTGGAACCAGATACACAAAGACAGTGAGAGAGTGAGCATTTTTCTCCAGCTCCTGGTCTGGAATTGGCCTGGGAAGCCTGGCACAGGACCAGGACACCATCTCGAGTTTGGCTGCCGTATGGGAGAACACAGGAGAGGAGAGGAGACACTTGCAGGAAAGTGATCTTGTGATGCTGGGAGCCTGACCACTGGGACATTGTGGCTGAAGAGAATCCCAGAGAACATTGGGATCTGACCCCAGAGGGCCGTGGGGCAGAAACAGCAGCTGTGGGAGACCTAGCCTCGCCAGAAAAGCAAGCAAACCAGAAGTCAGCACAGGGCCGAACCCTAAGGCAAAAAGCAGTGCTTAAGTGTTTCATTTTAGACCCCAAACAGCTTGCCTACCCACCAGATTCACAGACAGTGTCGGTGAAATCCAATATCAAGGGAGGCAGGTTGGCCCCCATGGTGAACGTTGAAGAAATGACCCTTAGGCTTTCGAGGCTTCTTCAGATATTGGGAGCATTTCACCTCTGCAGTAAGAGGATAACCCAACAATTCAGATGAGTAATTTCTACTACCTTTCTTAAAAAGTCAGTTATGGTACTTTACAGTCTCAGTTTTGCCTTTGGGATGCTGAACTTTTCAGAAACTTTAAAGCAAGGTGGGAAAGTATTTTTTGAGATGGTACAGAGTCACAGGGCCATGTACACAGTAGGAGCTCAGCAGGTGTCTTGGACAAGAAGGAAGGAGACCCCAGTCATGGCAAAGATGCCCTGTCCAAATGGCTTCATACCACACAGGACAGTGGCATCAGAAGCTTAGGACACCTCAACCGTCTTCCCTGGCCCTCTCTTCATCCTCTGGAGGGGCGCAGTGCTGGGAAGATCAAACCAGTTTGCATCTTTGGAAGGATCTAGATTATTTTCTTCTCCTGCTGAGCTGTCACTTGCTGTAAAAATGATCATTGATATTCAGCCATTATACTTCCATAATCATTAATATTCTTAAAAGGCTCTTGGAAACACATTTATACAAGGCTACACGATCAGTTTCTACATTTACTTTCAATTTAAATAAGGGCTTTAGCCAGAGTTTTGATGTGCTGTTTACTTTAATTACTGTTCTGCCCCTATCTGTGTCTTGACACAGTGTCATTTAATATTTTATAAATTTCCTTTAGCCCATTTTTTTCCTGATATGTGTGATTCTAAGGAGCTATTGATGCAATTTTTTTAAAAAACTTGCATTTTAAACTTTTCCGAGGCTCTCTGTAAACAAGATGTGGCATGTCTATTGCGTCTCTTCCCCTAGTGATAATGGGAGGGAATAAATAAATCAGCAGACAGCTGCTTTACCAAGCTGGCACAGGGATGCCAGGATGTTTGGCCCTGCCGGGGGCTCAGAGTGACAGCCCAGCAACTTCAGATGAAGCAGGATGCAGCTCAAAAGAAATCAGAGTCGCTTCTAACTGTGTGGTCTGGTGGTTCTGGAAGCACCTGCGAGCCCCACCCCTGAACCACTGAGCCAGAATCTGCATTTTAACAAGATCCCCAGGTGATCTGTGTGCACGTTAAAAGTTGAGAGGTGTTGCACTAAAGGAAATCAATCAGTGGGTGAGAAGAAAACAGGCTTTGTCTCTTTCTCAAAATTCCCAGGCTTTCGTGGGAAAACAAAACAAAACTACTTTCAGGTTCTATGGCAGATGATCAGGGCCAATTCTAAATAAGTACTTTAAATGTTGTGTCTGCTATTTGCCCCAAGATTTCTCTCCATTTTTCCATTCATCTATGTGTTCATTTAAGAAATCTTTACTTAGTCTCACTGTGAGCGAGGAATTATGGAAAGCGATAAATAAGACATGGAGTGCTATAGCGGAGGTATGTGCAGTGTGCTAAGGACACACAGAAGTGGAGGCTAATGGAGAGGTCGAAGGCATTTTCATGGAGGAGATTAATGTTTGAACTAATTCTTGAAGGATGAACAGGAGTTCTACAAGTGGAAGAGAGGCGTGGCTGGGAAGATAATGTTAATGGAGGTCAAGGGAGTGACGACTGACAGACACGGGTGTGTAAACATTCAGGACAGGCTTTACGGCTGGAATGGCATATTGTCTTCCATTCCGTCGGCATGGTCCAGATGTTCCTGGATCCAGTCAAGGACGGGCTGACCTGCGTGGCCCGGAGCACACAGACTCTGCAGCAGGGAGGCTCACAGGGGAGGTTTACCCATTCTTGGGAAGAAAGGGTTTCCTAATCGGGACTGTGGTTGACCACTGCTGGACAGAGAAACAAGCATGGGGACCCACAAACTCTTATCGACCAATGCCTGGTGGTGGCTTATGATGGTACCCTTCGCCTCTCTGTAAAATCTGTAAAGTGGGTTCCTGTGAAGGTTAGATGGGCGAGAATATGTGAAAGAAACGGGATCTGAGCATGATCATGAATCTGAAATTGATGACTAGAGCAGGAAGGTGAATGACAACAAAGAAAAGGAAAAGAAAAAGGCCAGGTAAGCATCGCTGTGACCCTAGAGCAATGGAGACTTGAGGCATGAATCTTAGAAGGAAGTAGAGAGTTTCCACTGGCCCCATTTCCAGCCTCCTCCGCCTGCTCTGTTGGCACTTAATATAGAAACTAGGCCCTTGGCCAGCGAAAGATCAATCCTTCCACTGAAGAGTCACCCTCTCGTGGGGCAGCCCAGATCAGGGATGCGATCTCAGTGATGTGCCTTGGGGATTTGAGGCTTCCTGCAAAAGGGGGCTTTGCAGGTAATAGACAGGCCTCAGAAAATGGGGAATGAGAGAAGACACAGAAACCTGTAACTCGGGTTTAAGGACAAATATTATTTCCTTGTCTCTTTCTGTATGAACTGAAATAAACTGCCCTTTGGGCAGCACCTAACCAAAGAGATGACATGAACTCATTGCGAGTGAACAAGTCCAGCTAAAAATTACTTTTCCATTTTTTCCCTTCTCATATATGGTGTTTATCGTGGGTAATAGATGAATGGGTGATCTTAATTTAATAGCAAAAGTAAGGGGAATTAATTCTGATACTGAAGGTACAAAATAAATGCCCTCCTATTTCTAGATCCTGCCCTTCCAGGCATCTGGGAAAGTCTATCAAATATTGCATTTATTAGTTCTCAGTGCTGTTTGCATTCCTGATTCAGCTTGAGAATTTTTATGAAACTTCAAGCACAGTACCTAGCGTAGAGTAGAAGTTCAACACATGTATTAATTTCTTTCTGTGCATAGCTATTCCATCTGCTGGTTATCTTTATGTGAATTTGTGTGGGTTTGGTCACAAGAAAGACCGGTTTACTTTCAATTGTAATCATAGCAATAACTGCACCGTTTATGGGCAATCTACTATGTGCCAGAATTTTTATATACATTTTGTCATTTAATTCTCCAATCTGCCCTATGAAATAGGAACTATCATCTTCATTTTCCAGATAAGCAAACTGAGGCTCAGAGAAGTGAAGCAACTTGACCAGTTATAAAAGCTATCATGTAACTGCTTGAGCTAAGATTTGACTAGTGGTCACCTCTAGCCAACCAGCTCAACTCAAGCTCTTTTTAGTGTTATCTCCTTCTTTTATTTTTTTATTATTTTATTAATTTATTTATTTTTATTTTTTACGCCTACGGCACCTGGTCTTCTTAGGTGGTCACCCATCCAAGTACTAACCGGGCCCGACCCTGCTTAGCTTCTGAGATCGGATGGGATCGGGCTCGTTCAGGGTGGTATGGCTGTAGACTTCTAGCATTCTTCAAATGATAGAATTATAGAGCTGGAGACAAATCAGCCAGGGGTTAGGGGAGGGTGTGACTGCACAGGGGCAGCTGGAGACAGTCACTTGGTGGTGATGGGGCATTTCTGATTGTGT